AGTCGTCAAAAAGTGTGGTGACCCCCGATGTGGAACGTGTGATTTCATTCAGGAGGGCGAACATATTACACTTAAAAACGGGAAAATTTTAAAACCAAATACCAGTATGAATTGTAAGTCTTCAAATTTGATTTACTGTGCAATATGCCCTACCTGTGGAGAACATAATATAGGGCAGACAAATCAACTCAACGCACGAGTTAGGGTTCACAAACAACATATAAGGGACGAAACTGTCAGATGCACCCCATGTTCAGAACATTTTGCTGAGTGTGGTAAAGGAAAATTTAAGATTTTCCCGTTCTACAAAATGTGGACATCGGATGAAAGCGCCCGTGTAACCAAAGAGGACTATTTTATAAGACTGTTTAATCCAAAACTAAATCGCAAATGATAGATTATGTGTTCACAGATTTTATATTATTTCTATGCTTTAATTATACATTGTATTTTAACTGCGTTGAAAAAGTTCATGTAGCCGCTACCACAAACTTCATTGTGACGTCATAATACCTAAGATTTTTACGACGTCATTAGCAACGTTATTGGCAACATTTTGAACTTTTCATAACTGTCTGAAGAGCCAACATGGCTGAAAGCGCTAACAGTAAAGATTTTATTTAATTTGGACTGTAGCATTCTGTTTTCATTTATTTAAGTATATATATATATATATATATATATATATATATATATATATATATATATATATATATATATATATATATATATATATATATATATATATATATATATATATATATATCAGTGAGTTTAAAGTGCTATCTTGTACAAGAATCACCCTTTTTTATCTTAATCCAGTAAACAAACTTTATTATCAAAGAGCTAAATATAAGAGAAGTGTTTCACATTTCAGAAATATTTAATGAAATAAGAAGTGAAAATAATAAATGAATGTGGTATATATAGCTATTAATGTTGTGTCCGCAACACAACTGCATTAGTTAGAACTAGACTTATTAATGAACAATTAAAATCTTGATGTATTCTTAGTTTCCACTTATTCAGTTTTTAAATACATGTACCACATAAAAATTGACTTACAATATATAAGACCGAAAATTGAAAGATTTTGAATAATATGAATAAACTAGTCGTAATGGGTGTTATTCTAAGTCTGAAATGATCAAAGAAATAAAAAAATTTTAAGTTTTCTTTTTTAAATTGAAACTTTCATCCCTTTATTGCATCTCTTTCACTGGAATATGTTAGATTCCACTGGAAACAAAAACGTCAACTTCCGGTTTTAGGAGATAAACTACGTTATTTCGATATTTAACTTTCTCATAAATATTGCTTATAGATAAAGTATTTGAAATGTTTTATATATGTTGTAGATACTGCAAATGTCTAGAGAAACATCAGACTTTTTTTTTTTTTATATATAAAATTCACTTCCGGTCTTGTGTTTACCTGTCCTCAAAATTAGAATTTGTTCTCACAATACTGTTTAGCAACAGTAAACGACTGAAGTCTAAAACTTTCAGGACTGATAGTCAGTTTTCAGTTTATATGAATCGTATAAAAATCGGTCGTGACAGGAAGTGATGCAAAAAAGTTAATTTTTCAAGTTTTTTATTTCTACCGATGCTTTTGGCTAGTACCGATGTTAGAAAGGTATATGCAATCTATTTGCTTGCCGAAAAAAGCGAAAGTTGTCTCAATCATGGGTGTTTTATTATGGAAACTTGTAGGGATGATCAGTTGTGGATAATTTAGATACAGGATGAACTTCTTATTCATTTGGATCACTTCTGGTCATGACAGGAAGTAAAGAAAACAGGAATTTAAATGAAAAATAAAGATATTCCAGTTTTCATCGTTATTTACGTTATTTACATTGCTGTGATGTCCTTGAAAGGTTTGAGCTGACCTCTATTAATCATTTTGCGTTATCTAATGTATAAGATTGTTCTGACAGGAAGTAAATAAAGAAGACTGGAAAGTAAATAAAAAATAAAGATATTTCAGTTTTCATCTTTAGAATATATATAGGTATAATGGATTCCTATATTATGCTACTATCAAAATTGAATGCAAGAACATGCATGCACGTGCGCGCAATGCGTTAAATGACCAATATACTTGATATAGCCGTAACTTTTAAACTTTTTGATGAAATGCTTTGAAACTCAAAAAAAATAAAAATATATCAAAAGTGTAGACAAGTTGATATGGTCATCATGCATATGCATGCACAAGCGCGCGTGCAATGCTGAAATGACCAATATAATTGATATAGCCGTCAGTTTTATACGTTTTTATGAAATGCTTTGATATTCAGAATGTAGAAATATATTAATCGAGTAGACAAGATGATATGGTCAACATGCACGTGCATGCACGTGCACGCGCTTGCAAAGCTTAAAATAACCAATATACTTCATATAGCCGTAACTTTTATACTTTTTGATGAAATTCTTTGATACTCAGTTTTATAGAATATATATAAATAGTGTAGACAAGATGACATGGTTATCATGAACATGTTTGCACGTGTGCGCGCGTGTAATGCGTAAAACGACCAAAATACTTGATTTCTTATTTAATGAAGATTACAAGAAATAAGACACCAAAAGGGATCGGAGTTGGGGAGCGTTTGGGGAACATCTGTAGCAGTCCCGGTTACAATTATAACTAGTTAAAACATTGCTGTGATGTCATTCCTTTGTTCTTGCAGTTTAAAAATTTACCTATGGCAGTCCGATATTAGTGAGCAGTCTGATATTAATCTCAGTACTGACATCCTTCAAAATTGGACTGTCACTGAACAAAAGAAATTCAAGTGATTATTTAGCAAATGTTTGATCAATATTTGATCTTAGTTATGTGTGCATATTTTTTTCAAACAGAATATTATATAGTGATCATAAAGAATGAAAAATTTAAAAAAAAAAAAAAAAAAAAAAAAAAAAAAAGACTTATTCTGAAATGGGGGGGGGGGGATAAAATAAAAGACTCAAACACGATATCTCTGTACTTGTAATAAACATGTATGACTTCAAGTGATATCTTCATCCAGTGTTAAAAATTAAGATATTCTTTTATTCTGGGTTGAAAGCAATGAACAGAGTTGATTGGTAAATCTCTCATTTTAATCATAGAAGAGTTCTACTTCTGGTTATATTAAAAAGAATATCCATTAGACATGCAATTCTTTCTAACACAGACCCATATAGATTTTTCCAAAGTAAATCTTTATAAAAAATTCCCCCTACACACACATACACGTATAAACACTTTTTGTTCCTGTGAGGTCAAGCACTGGCAAATTTCAAAAAGAAGAACAAGGTTCACCCCCTTCCTCATATAAGATTTTCGGGTTAAAACGGTTTCCGGTTTATTTATTTATTTTATTTTATTTTATTTTTTATTTTTATTTTATTTTATTATTATTATTATTATTATTTTTATTTATTTATTTATTTATTTATTTATTTATTTTTTATTTTTTTTATTTTATTTTTTTTTTTTTTGAGGTCCCCCTTTAAAAAGCGTTGCTACGCGCCTGTAAAGTTATTCTCAATGCCAGTAATTTAAAAAAAAATAATATACCTTCATCATCAGCTTCATTTATTCCTCTTTTCAGTTCAAACAAAGTTCTAATCTGTATTTTCCTTTCTAGACTGTCTTATCATAATCCAAATGCACTGTGTTATGTTGTAAATTTTGAATTAACCGGTGGCAGTAACTACAAAATTTACAACATGACAACTAGTCATGTTGTAAATTTTGTATTTACTGCCACCCGGTAAATTCAAATTTTACAACATGACAACTCCTTCAAGCCCTATGCATACGATTTAGGATACTTCAATCCTCTCTCCATTACCAAACAATTATATTACTTCAAATACCGATAATATATTGTGTAACTGATTCAAAAAATACTGAATACTTTCCATGCAAGCATGCATTCTTGAAAGAATTGCTTCATTAGCTATTAACACTTTTGTCTTTTGTTAAAATGTCGGACTGTCTCAAGTAAATCAAAGTGTCATTTGAAGAGCAACGTTTTCAGTACGATATATGCCTCATACAATGCTGTATGAAAAAAAATATCAGACAGTTTTCGGCCCTAACGCCGGTTTTCGAAGTTACACTCGACTACATGCAATATTTATATAACATAGAAATATTCACATTTTTTGTGGATTATAAGATAAGATAACGTAATATTCATTTTAAGTCGGGTTTTGACAACACAAACATTAGCTCTGAAGAGCTATTTTCCGAATCCGTAATACTAGTATTCTTTGTAAAATACAACAAACCCACGAAATATACAAGAAATAGTACTTTCTAAATATCACATTGCTGAAATATCACTATTTTGTATTCTGATTTTTTTCTCAAAATCACATATTCTAGGTTTAGAGTCGGCCTGCACCCAGGAATGAAAATATACATAATGCATGTATACATGAACAAGGAAAAAAATCTTCAAAACAGCAAGACCATGATTGTCACATCATGCCGTGTTGATTTGTTTGTTTGAAATGTGATCCTTTCGGGCTGTTGTAGGGTCACAGTATAGGGACAAAATTTTTCTTGGGAATAAAGACGCAAACATTCTTTAAAAAAAAATTTTGAAGAGCAACAGTGCAAAGGCTACTTAGTTGGAAGTATTGGCCCAAAGGCCTTTTCCTTTATTTATTTAATCATTTTTACTTTTGTCCATATTATGTCATATAATTTAGACAAGATCGTATTATCGTTTTAATGTAAACCAGATACCTGGGTCTTCGAATGTAAAAAAAATCCAGATTTTAACACTCCGAGATTTTATGTGAGATTTTCACGCAATGTGCACATACGAACCACTTAGCTTCCTTTTGAAGCAGAGACGAAAAATATCTCAATGTAATTGTCAGGAATTTATATTTCCGGCCGAGTGTTTAGGTATGTATTTTTTAAAGGCCTATTAAAGCATGAAGTATAGAATATTTGTTAAACTCAGTCGTATTTCCTGGGAATAATTTATAATGCTCATTTCATTTATAATTTCTCGTTGATTAATGTGACGTTCCTAAAATGAACTAAAGAAAAGAACTTGTTGCATGATTACCAATAGGAAAGTTGTTCACTTTCATCTTGATCTGTTTGTTTGATCCAATATATTTTGGAATAGCATAATATATATTTCAATAGGTCCATTCTTGGTACATTTTGAATGATGAATAAGATTTAGAATTCCACAGATAAATCAACATGAATTGTTAATAACAGCCGCTTTAATTCTCGGTTTACATGTATTAGCATTGCAGGACAACCTTGTGCGAATTCTATACAAAGACAAAAAGAAGCTTCTTCGTTACTTTCCTGACAACGTCTCTATATATATGAGTGAAAAATTCTCGACTGAGACGTAAAACGATACACAATCAACCAATCATCCTTGCAGTGGTTATCTGTTGATAAAGAATATTTTTTAATGTAATATTATTCATTTAGGTCTTTCAAAATGAAAAAAAATCTTTTCATGACGTTGACGTTAGTACTTTTAACATTTGGGTTTTGGCTGACAGCACTAGTCACAGCAGGCTGGCGAATCTCATCAGAAATGAAACCATTTCCACCTGTTAGAATCATGGTATGATAATTCACAGTTCATATATATATATATATATATATATATATATATATATATATATATATATATATATATATATATATATATATATATATATATATATATGAATTAGTCTGTAATTAATATTGTAAAGAGCTTAATTTCAGAATAAATATGTAAATTACTTATCTCGGGTTGTACATAATCCTGAATTTTATATTCATTATCGGGATATTAGTTAATTGCCTAGGAAAATTGTCTATGGAAATATTTGTTTAGTACATTGTATCAAAGATTATAATCATATCCCATTAGGCAGATAATTGGAATTTATTACACGTATTGAAATCTGAACAGTATACCGTTACGACTATCTTGCCTTTTGTAAGACGACTGGTTCCTCAGTTGGAGCTACTATAAATACACATGTTTCATTTGTTAAAATTATACTTTTCTAAACTTAAATCAATTATTTATTTCAAAAATTGACAAATATCAAATGTAGTTTCTTATTGTACACCTACAAAAGTCTTCATACAATTTTACTTCCAATATAAGTATACCTACGCTAAACCTTTTATGACAGTAGGATGAAGCATATTTAAAATAAAACAGATTTTATTTATTTTATCGAATATTCGAATATATTCGAATACTTTAATTGAATATTCGAATATGAATTATTGACAAAATTGACATCCCTAATATATATATATATATATATATATATATATATATATATATATATATATATATATATATATATATATATATATATATATATATATATATATATATATATATACATACTTTATTGAGAGAAAATCAATATTCTTCGATTTAGTATTTTGTCGTCATTTATTAGCGATAATTAATTCGTTCCATCAATGATGTAAGTTGCACTTAACCAGAGTTCAATAGATAGACCATACATGATTTCTGAGCGTTTTGCAACAAAATAAATATAAAATTCATAGACGATTACTTTGCTCTGTTTACAGTCATTTATCATCTTTTTTTACAGGCGATTGTGTGGAAAAATTTATCGACAGAACCGTATTTCATGAATAACACCCTTTTAGAACAACTCATCGAAGGCCGAGTAATTATGCTGCACTCTGAATTAACACATATAGATATGTACCTCATTGCGAGAGCAAAAGTCAATTTTGAATTTACTTTTCATCACTTACAAATTTACGTTTTATTTAGACCTGCAATATATGTGCATGTACTCATAAATGAAGCAAAGAGGAAGTATTAAACAGAAAAAAATATACGCATTAATTTTTTTACTTTTGTCATCAAATTGTAACTTAATAGTATAAAGATACAACTTATGGGTTATATAATTTTGGGCCTGAATACACTACAAGATTACAAAAGCAATGTGGATTCCAATATAAGAATCATTATTGGTCATTTTTCAACAATAGATATCAGAAGTGTGTTTTGTTTTTCAGGTATTAAGAGCACAGGTCACCAAATACAGTGATAGCATCTTTTATATGACGAAATGTACATACGAACGAAAAAATGGATATCCTACAAATAAATGCTTCTCTAACACACGCTCTCGAGATTCAACAAATGGTGGTGCAACAGACCGTAATATATAAACTCTTCCTTTTTTCGTTTTTCATGATTCAATTGTCCTAAAAACATAAAAATCCAATGAATACGTATATATAAATCTCGTATTATATATAATAAAAAAGATAGAGATAGCGAACTTAAACGATCTCAGAGATCCTCTAAACAATTAAAGTGTGATCAGATCATAAAACATAGACTCCTGGAAACACCAGACGAAGGATGTGTGTAGGAGGAGTAGGACTCCCCTATTGACCGAGCACTTGCTGTAGATCCTCTGTATTGATCAGGAACACGGAAAATCCGTAGTCAAAATAGATTTAATCAATGGTCTCACAACCGGTATGAAACATGTTGCTCAAAATAAGACACAATGATTGGTTGTATTGGCAAACAAAGTTAATTATAATGACCAAAGAATTGGTGAAATGCTGACTTTTAACTAGACTGTAAAAAATCAATCCCTTCATTATTTGCATGTTTATTTTAATGTCAGCGAAATGTTGTAGGCCTATTGCAACATGACATTTTAACGATCATAGAATTTTCAATAGACTGATTTAAAGGGAGGTTCTTGACATCCCTGTAAAATTATCTTATTTGTCAGTAGCCTGTCGGTTTAAAAAAAAATGATCGGGCTCAGATAGTAATGTTATTAAGAAAACACTTAATTCACGATTTTTATGCTATATTTTATAAAACCTTTTTACAACACTGAGAAAAATTATCTTCTGTTATTACCCTTTTCTTTCAGTGACTTGGACTGAGATGCAGATACATTTTGCTGCGTTTGTAGTTGTTCTAGTTTTGTGCCTTATAAGCTTTACTCTTCTTGTGAAGAATTCTAAATCCCCCCCTAAAGTTCTAGCTGGAGGAATTGTCTTTTTCATTGCAGGTAATGCGCTTGATTCTGTTTCTAAAATTTGGCTTTTCCCAATCATAGTTTTTTCACTGTATCATTTTCAATTGAAAGGTTAGTATTTTTAATTTCTGAATAACTACCCCAAACATTTTATAAAGAGCATCTGATAAACTATAGCTACAATATTTAAGAAGTAGCCAAGGTGGTTAGAGGGTTGTTTACAATTTTTTAGCAATCATTTCCACATATTAATACTTTTTCAAACAGAGAAATCGAATAATTGCAAGTAACTACAGACAGTGAATATTCTATGTAATAGTTTTTTTTTTTAAATATGCCATTTATTTCAGTTGTCCTTGAACTCACTCTGGTTATTCGGTGGATTATTCTTAACATGACTACGAACAAGTATTATAATTCCATTGAGAATTTGAAGTTTTGGACAGAAAGAAAAATGTTTGTGAGCCTCAAATTTCCGTACTCCATCCTTCTAGCTGGTCAAGGCTTAATTTTTAGCGCAATGGTCTTGCCCTTTACATTTTTGTTATACAAGAAATTACGCCAAAATACAACAAGCAGTCTGAATGAGGAAGAAAATGAGACTCTCAACTAATGACTGATTGGACTGATCAAACAGTTTCATGTTCTTTCATTAACATTTCTAAAATAATCAAAATGTATGATGATTATTATTTCAAATTGATTATTTCCTAGCCTATCATACAATTGTGCATTCAAACACTTCATATTTCTTAATAAATGTATCATTTTGTTGGATTTTTTAAAAAATGTGGAATAAATGTGTATCTAATAAACATTAAAAAAAAATTAATTCTTATTTTTACGTTAGATATATGATAGTTTAGAGGTTTAGGATATTCGAGGATAAAAAAATTGTTATGGATAGTTTTGAAGTTTGAATTATATAATTAAGTATCACGTACGTGCATATAAAAAACTAAAACTGAAACATGATTCAAGGTTCTAGTAGTGCTACCCCATGTCCAGTTTAAGCTACTCTCCTTTTGTTTAAAAAAGTGACAGTTGGAAAGTTGAATTTAGAGTTATACTTTCTTTCTCGCAATCTTATTATGTAAAAGGTAGAAAAGATAATATGCACAACACTTTAAAAAACCAGGATTAAACTTTTCTACAGGAATTGCATATCTTTTAAACTGTTAAGGAACCAGCTTTCATAGGCAACGTCCACTTCAGAGGTGGCAAAAGTGTTTTGTGCTGATTGTAGCATATCATAATGTGTTGAAAATTCTTTTTTAATATATACTAAACACGTTAACATCGTGTGTGCATGAATGCTTACATCCAATCATGTAATTAACTGTGATTGACCACAAAATGTTATTCTGTTTAAATGAACTTATTATAATAATTGACCATCAACTTCCTCAAGATTCATTTTGGGATATATAAAAAAGCGTACATGTTAAGTGGTCAGGCCATGCTGATTATATGCTGGAATCTTTTAATAAAATTTCAAAGCTGAAAAGATACATGAACTATTGATGAGAAAATAAATCATATTTCAATTGATAAATACATGTAGGTACCAAAGGTAAAAAAAAAAAAAAGGATTAAAAAAAGTGGTGTTTTGGACAAAACGGATGACATATCAAAATTCACAGGGAGAGGAAATAGAAATAAGTATTGATATATTCTATCATGGTGTTTACATTTGGTAGCAAACAAAAGTTTAAGATTTCTTCGTCAAGATCAAATTTCAAAGAAAAATCTCATGAAGTTATTATGGAAGCTTATTAGTGCCACATAGTAATCTTTTGGTAATTCAAACTTTAAGGTTGGAAAAACTAACTCAAAAGTTGGAAAAGCCAAGATTAAAGTTATTCAGTTTATTGTTGGAATTACCTAATTTAAAGTTGAAAAAACTAACTTTAAAGTTGGAATTACCACCTTTTAAATTAGAATTTTTAGAAAAAAAATTTTGCACTAATATGGTTCAGTAAGAAATAAGAAGACGAAGAAAAATATTTCAAGGTCTACAGCTTTTACAAAGGGTCCTTCTTTACTTTTTCCACGTATGTATTCATAAGGATATTTATAACAAAGGCATGGATTTTAAACAGAGGTGAAGAAATAGAGGTCCATCATACTGGGAAAAAAATCAAATGACGATCTTTTGTAACGTACAGAAGTTTGTAATCGCTCTGTTATTTGATACAAGCGTTATTTCATGTGCGCAATGATGAGACACACTAGGATATGTGAAAAACAGTGTGATTTGATCGTGGGAATTTTTCATTGCCATTTTCAGATTTCTTCATTTATAGCAGCCCATGAGTCATACTTTTTATTACAATTTCATTTTTATCACTCTTTGAATATGTAAAATAAGGCAATACTGAACCTAGTAAATGCTAAATGGAAAAAGAAATCGTTTGGCTGCTGAAAAATAAGTTTCTGGTGTCTTTAAGGTTAGTTTCTTGTTCCCGACTTTTTATGGGATTTGGATGAATTATGTATTCTTATTTTTTTTATTCAAGTTGGATGACGAATCGGTTGATCTGTTCCTATGCGAAATCTTAATTTCAATCAAATCAAAGTATATCTACCTTTGAGAGGTTGTCCAAAGTGCCCTGCAAGAATAATGATGATTTTTATTTTTTTTTCTTGTTAAACATAAATAAATGTTTTAATATGAAGTAAAATATAGCGTACAATTTACATCATTCTCCGAATTGATTATTGATAATTCATCTCTAATATATACGACAGCATGAATAATATTATTATGTTGAATGGACACAGATATGAATTCGACATAAATATTTGAGTAAATAATATGACCACTTTGCTGATTTTTTTCATAAAATTCATTACTAGTATACGCGCTGTTTGTATTTTTCCTATAAAGCCAAAGTAATAACTGTGATGTCTTATTGATAATGATTTAAAATCTTTTTGATATGGAAACATATGATTACTAGATTTTTTTTTTCGAATTGTTATAAAGTTTAAATAAATATATCTTCTTGATTTGCTACGAGCTTAATATTCTATTATTATAATAAAGGAAACTGATAAGTAAACAGTTTTCTTTATTTAGATCACTAAACTCTACAGCTTTATGCGTCAAAAAAGAAGAGAAAAATTGCAATAATGTTTCCATAATTGTTTTCAAATTCTGTCAATTTTGTAATTTCTCTCTATTATTCCCAGTTTTCTGATTGGCTCACACTAGATCGCGGATCAAGTATAAAAAGAACACATTCTTGAAATAAAGTTGCATACACGTTCAACAAAGATATAAAACTTTGTTGGTAATAACAGGGCACAATTAGCACCCATGGGAATTCCAAACAGATTGTTGGTCAATTAGAAACAGGCATCTTTTTTAATATCAATCTTAGAGGAGTGTAAAATTCAAAAGTTTTTTTAACAAAATAAGTTGACAAGGTATGCAAAAGACTGCACTTAAGGAGCTGACTGGGGTTTTCATTGCGCAATACTTCGCGCAGCATAGTAAAATAAAACGTATTTACTCTTTTTAAAGCAATTATTTTTACATAATTAAAAAAAAAAAACAAATTTAGGAAATCTGAGGTTAAAAAATCTAATTATGTTTTTAAATAACTGATTTTTGTAACGATTTTTCAAATGATGGGTAGATAGACGTCGTAATAGTGTGTTTTTGACGTTAAGAATATCCGAAGCGGGGTCATTAATTATGCCATAAAATAAAAAGTAAAAAATATATGCTCTTGAAATTTTAAACATAGGAAATTGAGAATCTATCAATCATTCTTATTATTTTTTATGTAAATCTGTGATATCTGTCATGTTTTGTTGTACTCCATAAAAACAGGAAAATATCATGAATTTTGACATTTTGAGATGCCCCCTCTGGAAACTAGATGGTAGAATTTTGTGTTTCTTGCACAAAATGTACAATATAGTATTACCCATCAAATAATTAAATTTGAGCAAAAAGTCTACAGTAGTATTTGTATAATTTGCTCCGAAGTGCGAAAAAATGGTATTTTCCTATATAATTCTATAGTAATGTACCTGTATTTTGAGATGGTCCCTAAGAAATAACCAGACGGTAGATTTTCACTAAACTTAGCATGTATACTGAAGTCAATGTAAGGTATATATGGTATAAAATTAAAGAGTTTCTCTATAGTAGTTTTCACGCAATAAAACCCCAGTCGGCTCCCTTAAGGACATGCGAAATTTGCGACAAAATAAACTTTCAAAACAAGTATTTTTCTTTTAATTGCAGAAATGGTCAATATCCTATCTACAACTTTTCGTAATTACATTAAATAGAAGTATTTATTTCAGAAATACGAATACATGTTCAAAGGCGGGGGTCAGCGAAATTTCTTGAATCTTCATACGATAATGAGGATGCCCACTTTTTTTTACAGAATTTATACACTTTCAGCACATATTGCCTATTGTTCTCTATTTAACAGTAGTTGAATACTTGCATAAATAATGTTGTGTCAAAAGGAGATTAATAGTCTAACATGCTGCTTCTTCTTACATTCGATTCGCTCTCTCTGTTGTAAACAAGGGTTGTGACATGTTATATATTGTAATTCACCACGTGATTTCTTACCTCAGGACCGTCACGGTGGTTCAGTCGGTAGAGCGTTCGCTCCGTGATCGGAAGGTCGTTAATTCAAATCTCGGCCGCGACTGACCTAAGTCGATAAAAAATAGGTAGCAACTGTTACTTCGCCATGCGCTCGGCACCTTGAAGTGAAAGCTGCGGGTCCTTCGGATGAGACCTTAAAAACCGAGGCCCCGTGTCGCTGCAGGCGTTGGCACAATAAAGATCCCTCACTGCTCAATGGCCCTGAGTGCCGAGTAAAGGTAGAAATTTGAAGCCCTTCACCGGTATATGGTGACGTCTCTATATGATTGAAAAATTCTCGAATGGGGCGTAAAACAACATTCAATCAATCAACCAATTTTACCTCAGGTAACCCTATGAATACTAAATTCCGTCATGTGACTTGTAAGGTAGCAAGTTGTGTGCTTACTAGGGCATTGCGTTCGAAAAATTTAGATTGTCAGGCATTGATTTAAAATTTTCTATACTATCATAAACGTGCTCATATTGTTAATTTCGTTTTGAAACCCTTGTAAATAGTGTACTTGTGCCAAACTGAAAAAAAAGAGGGAGATCGGAAAGAGTGATCACGTATTTGTTATACAAGTCATTGTTATTTATCTAGTCTAATTTCAGATCCATTCTTACAATGTTAGCTCCACCTCTCATGCATACCTAAATGTTCAATCAAGGGCAGGTAAGTGTAACTTCTCTATATCTGGAAAGCAATAAGGACATAAAACAGAGTTATTTTATTGCTTCACAGTCTAAAATCATTTTAACATTTACAGTTGGTACCATATTGTCAGGATTCTGTAACAAAAATATAAAGGTGAAATTAAGTTAAGATATAAAAACAACAGAAGACCCCAAATCCCGGCGTTAAATACCCTCATCCTTTACAGATTCCAATTTGAGCCGAGCTCATAGCTCGTAGAGCAGTAGCCAGCTTTTGTCACGATGTTCAACAGGATATGCTGACTCTTCACATCCAAATCAAATTTACTCTAAGGAATAAAGCGCCTACTCTAAACCATTGTCGAGACAATACAAATACTAGATTAAACAAAGTAAAGTATAGAGAGGAATTTTCTAAACAAATAAACATTAATGGTAACGTATTTTCTCCTATGTTCTTCAATTCAAGTATTCGTTTAAAATGTTCGAAAGGTTTTCTTCAGGTCCCCTGCCCATCGCATAGAGATTGTTTACCAAGTTAACACTAATGCCGGGAGTACGTGACCTTATATACACTGTTACCAATCTTAAACGCTGAGGTCTGTTTGACATTGCTACATCAATGTTTTAAATTATTTAATTCTTGGAATGGAATAAGACCACAGAACGATACATTGGGGGTAGGTTCCAACTTCTTTCAGTACCAAATTTTATTCATACACCACTACAAAACCCGTATTTGACTATTCTACAACAAAAAATGGGGGGGGGGGCTTTCAATTAACATTTCAAATAGTAAAAAAAGTCTTTGGAAAAAAGTGGGGGGGGCAGCCCCCCCCCCCCTGGACCCCTGTTGCTACGTGCCTGTATTTGTTTGTAAGGAATTTTATGAAGTTAAGAAATCCAATGTAGGTAAAGTAATTCAAATTCATTTTTTTTTTTAAATCAGTAAAACAAAATTTAAAAAAAAATATGTAAATTTTAATGGAAAAGGAATTTCATAATACATTTTAGGAAAGGAATGTGATACTTTTTTATTGTTTGGTATGGTAATTATACTGAAAAGTAATTTCAAATTAATTCTCCGTATGCTTTTATAAAGGCAATTTCAAAAACAGTTCATCAAACAAGATCAATATAATAGTGTTCAATTTTGATTTTACATATATTGTTAAACTGAAGTTTTGTTAGATTAATACAATTTAAGGTGAAATACATGTAATATATTTTTCTTATTATTAGAAGGTGACTAAATTCATAGTGCCTTTAAACCTCTGCTGTATTGTCACCATGATTACGCTTCAATGTAGCAATGATTTCTAAATTTTCTTTATGTTTTCTGTGCAACAAGGTCTTGAAGATCTATAAGAGGGGTGATCAAAAAGTTCGCGAACTATCTCTATAATTACAAAACCACAATTCAGATCAGAATGAAATTTGACACACATATAGTCATACACACGTTCTATAAATAGCAGGTGATATGTAATGTGTTGCTCCATGTTGTGACGTCACAATGTGAAAATGGCGTCAATATGTAGGTGACTTGTGACAAAAAATTGTTGACATAGTCGTACTCGCTCAACGAAGGGCTGTAAAGTTTAACGTATATCTTGGAAATCCCTTTGCAGTAGGATATAATATTTTGCACAGGGTTTATGAAGACAAAAGACTTGCCAGAAGTTCAATCATTAATTGGATTGATTGTTTAAGGGAAGGAAGGGAGATGGTTAAAAATGATGTTTGTTCTGTTGCCCAGTGAAAGCAAGCTTTGGAAGAGATGTGTCCTTAGTTGAGCAATTTGTTTTGAAAGATCGCCAAGTTACAATTAGAAAAATAGGTGCGTATTTTAACAATAATATAATTATCAAATCCCCTAAATATCATTTACTTTAGACTTAAAACATATCAGATATGATAAAAAGAAGGCGCCCATATTTTATCCACATTGCAAAGAGGACGCTCCCAAGACAGAGGAGTCGGGTTCTGATGGTCACCTTGCTCATTCTGGGAAAGGATATATTTATCCACCCATCGTATTACCGAGATTTCGCCATTTCTGACAAATGGACTGTTTTTGTTAAAAAAAGAAGAAGTAACTTTCATGATAAGAAATATAAGACTCGAAAAATTCTTTTAGCTTCTGTGAACAGAAGCTACGGAGCATGTCACGTGTCCTCCTGGATCACGTGATTCGCGCATGGGCAGAACGGTGGCAGATGTGCATTAAAATTGGAGAGGACTATTTAAAAAAATAACAAGAAAACATTGATGTAACCATCAATTGTCGCCCGGGAAATAAATAAAGTAAACAATGGAAATGAGTTTTGATCATCAAACCGCTTCGATATGTGTGAAAAAGGCATGCGTCTAAATGATGGAGGCGATAGTAGAGAATATTTTGAAAAGTTATAGTCGAATGAAAATCGAACAAAAACGATACCCTTTTAAACTTTATCAATTCCTCAATTAAATGTTGGCTACATAAAATATAATTTGAAACCAGACACATGCATCACCTATTTTCAAAAATGTTTTTCACTTTAAGATTATAAAACGCGAACTGTGAAAAGTACGTTTTTACGTTTTTATGCGATAAGTAAAATTCGATGTTCTAAAAAAAGGGACCTGTCGTTTTTTCGATAGTAAATGATAAGCAACTTTATATATTAAATATGAAAAACATATATATTTTTACAGATTCACTTTATGGAAGTAAATATATTGTGTATCTCGTAATTTATAAAGGGAAAGAACATTCTGATTTACAATCTTTTTAATGTTTAGAAAACCTTTAATTCTGAATAACTTCTCCCACCTCAATCCCCATATACCAACACTTAAACTTACATGTATATGTATAGAGCAGCCCGGTCCTCCGGGCTGCAATGAACACTGAAACCTAATTTTATTTCATTTATTGAAGTAAGTCAAATAGTTCGCGAACTTTCTGATCACCCCTCGTATTTAGCAGTTTCAATTAACCATCGATATCTTTCAAGGAAATGACAGTATTAATCAAAAATAGGCCACAAATTTTGTGTAGCGGTGTTGTATTACCATGACAGCAATATGTTTTTTTTAAATAATACATGTATTGTTATACAAAAAAATAACATAAGGTCAACTATATTGATTGTTTCTCTACCGTTAGCGATTAAGGTTGATCACGAATCCCACTGAGCGTTATTAAGCATATAAAATGTACGAGGGCTGTTCGAAAAGTTACTAGTACTATGACAATACTAATTATGTTATATTATATTCGTGTAATTCAAGATCACCAGATTAATTACCACATGTAAAAATATATTTTGTTGATGTGTGAAGTTTCATTATGTGTTTATATGTAACTCATGTTATTTAAATTTTAAAATTAACACGTTTTGTTGTGTAGGAATTTAGGCTGGACTGAGGATATCGACCTGGAAGGCTCAGTGGTTAGAGCACCTGACTAGTAATGCAGGGGTCCCTGGTTCGAGTCCCGGTCCAGCCATATGCTTTTCATTATATACATGTATGTATTTATGAATTTTCAATGTATGTTAACTCATTCCTCCTTCAGTTCTACAGATGGTGCCGTTGCTTACCTTGTTCAGGCAAAATTATATATTTGTAAATGTAATTAATGTTAAGTCCTGACAAGGTAAACTGGTGTTGTGTCTTTGGGGGAAAATACTATTTAAGGAGGCAGGAATGGAGGAATTAAGGCTGGACTGAGGATATTGGCCTGGGAAGCTTAGTGGTTAGAGCACCTGACTAGTAATGCATGGGTCCCAGGTTCGATTCCCGGTCCCATATGCTTTATATTATATATGTATTTATGAATTTTCAATGTATGTTAATTCATCCCTCCTTTCAATACTAAAGTAACCACGGAGCACACATCAGCATTGTTACGCCAAAATATAAAGTAATAAGTTTATCAAAAGTACTCTCTTTGAAAATTTCATACACAGTCTGCAGTCATATCCACTGATTAGTTTGCTAACAATGTTGCATTAGCATAAGTTTGTAACCACGAAACCCAGCGTTCACAAGAATCTCTTTCCATGACGTTATTAATTCTTTTGATCAGATTTTTACTGATAAACAGTTTTCTCACAGACTGTATATCACCTGATAAAGTATCTCTGTTAATCAACTAGAGTGTTCCAAGGTATGCATATGTCGCCTACTTTATAACATTATTAAAGATGTAAATAAATCTAAGAGATTGATTGATTGATTGTATATTGTTTTACGTCCCATTCGAGAATTTTTCACTCATAGAGAGACGTCACCATATACCGGTGAAGGGCTTCAAATTTTGACCTTTACTCGGCACTCAGGGCCATTGAGCAGTGAGGGATCTTTATCGTGCCAACGCCTGCCGTGACACGGGGCCTCGGTTTTTAAGGTCTCATCCGAAAGACCCGCAACTTTCACTAAAAAGTGCCGAGCGCATGGCGAAGGAACAGTTGCTACCTATTTTTTATCGACTTAGGTCTGTCGCGGCCGAGATTCGAACTCACGACCTCCCGATCACGGAGCGAGCGCTCTACCGACTGAGCTACCGTGAACGGTAAATCTAAGAGAAGACAGTTATTTATTTGCTGCTGGTATTATAGTTCATATATTTGCCTGCAAAGAAAGAAAAATTGTTAGTCTACAACGATCCATTTTGGTGTTTTTCAGTGTATAAAGAACACGGTTCTCTTAGGGCCTTTTTGGTCCTATAAAATTCTGAAAAATTGAAACTGCTCAGTTTAAATCATTTAAATCCTTGGTTACTGCGTATCTGTCGATAATAACGTCATTTTCTAGGTAGTCAATGTTTCATGAATTGCGTCATTTGTGCCATATCCTGAAAATTTCTTTAAAAAAAAAATAAATAAATAAATAAAATAAAATAAAAGGCCAAACTTTTAAGCTATTTTTCAATATTTCGTAGTGAGCGCAATCTCTGATCTAAAATATGCAATTATTAATGATAGAACTGTTTTTGAAGATTAAAAAACACTGATTTTTTTTTTCTTTTTGGGTCGAGGGGAGCGCTCATAGTTTGATTCTTCACTAATTTGTTTTCTTTAAAATTAAATTTAAGAACACTGCAGTTTCATACATACATATTCATACATATCACAAACTCTGTTTTCCAATACCAAGACTCTCAGAGAAAACTTTTATACAGGAAATAAAAGCACTAAGTCAGCACTTCATATTGATGATTGAAAAGGGATATAGATTGTAAGTTAATAAATTGGTATATATCTACAGGGCAGTTTTATGCATAGAGGGTGAACCTTGCTCTTTCAGTTTGTGTGGTAATCGTGGGTGCGTTCGTTTCACTGTTCTGAATATGTCTGCACAAGTTCCGGACAGACGTCCAAACAAATGAATAAGAACAGGAAGTCGATTAAAGAGTATGGCGACCATGAAATGGATGTGTTTACCGCTTGTGCAAGAGTTTCTCGACGATGACGATAACAGTGACGAAGATGATGTAATTGCAACTGCGATGATGGTGCATGTTATACAAACGTTAGTAAAAGCATTTTTGATATGATTGTGTAAACAATTGCCTTTGAAATGAGAAGATCAACTGTCTTCCAACTGTACAAAAGGCCTCATTTGGAATTAATTATTTAAACACTGAATTCTGAGTACATGGAAGTCAAAATTTGGTGCAATATATTTGAAATGCAAATACTGCCTTTCCACCTTTTTTTAAAATTTGACTTGACACCCCCCCCCCCCCCCCAAATACAACTAGGGTTAGGATTTTTCGAGAAAATTGGACAAGTTTTCCATGTGCTTTTTTTGGCAAGTCAAAAAGTTTTGTTGTCGAAATTTCTTCTTTGGGTGTTTATCGAGATTATATCTCCCCCCCCACCCCCACCCCCCAAAAAAATCTGGATGCGTTCGTGATTTAATGCTGAATTCAAATGCTTAATTATTTTAATGTTAACTAGTATAAAAATCTATAGTATCTGCGCTTTTTTGAACTGAATTTCTAGGGAGACAATACTTTTATTTATAATTAAGAAAGTAACGAGCTCAGAAATATTTGTTTCAATATACACTGTAGTACAGATGAAAAAAATGTAGCTTTATTCTTTTTTTATTGAACATGAAACAGAGGGTATTTTGCTTTATTTTGAATTTTCTTTAATTTTTTTTAGTTACACCAGAGAACCAAAAAGTAGAATTAAAAACTATTGCGAGGATGTGGTCTCAAAGTACTCAGATACCGACTTCAAGAGGATTTTTATACTATCTCGTCCTACTTTCGACACAGTTAAAGGCTATTTGCAGAATTGTCATGAACTCGATGTGGAGGGACACGGAGGCAGAGAACCAATATCAGTCGAAAAGCAACTATACGTCACATTGTGGTACCTAGGTGGATCGGACAGTATCGTAAAAATAGCAGACCGATTCGGAATATCTGAATCCTCAGTTACTGTGTGTAGAAATCGGATTATTGACACTATTTTGAACAATTTCAAATCAAAGTTTATCATCTGGCCGCAAGCTGAAATGCTTGAACAAACCATTGACAAGTTTCATCAACGAAATGGATTCCTAGGAATTATTGGGGCTCTTGACGGCACTCATATTGCTATAGAAGCCCCAACTGAAAATCCTCAGTCTTACATTAATAGGAAAGGCTATTATTCCTTACAGCTACAAGCAGTCTGCGACTCTGATATGAAGTTTTTGAATTGTTACTGTGGATTTGCAGGGAGTTGTCACGATACCCGCGTCTTGAGGAATTCCGATTTGTGGAAGTCTGGCTTAGAGGTCTGTAACGGAAACCACATTATTGCAGACGGAGCTTACCCCGTGCGACGATGGCTTATGACGCCTTATCGTGACAATGGACATTTGTCGCAAGAACAGAAACATTTTAACCACCTGCTTTCTGTCAACAGGGTAGTCATTGAGAGAGCATTTGGACTTTTAAAAGGCAGGTTTCGACGTTTATATCATCTCGATGTACTAAGTATTCCAACAGCAGTTAAAATTATCATGTGCACTTGTGTTCTGCAAAATATTTGTCTTCTTCAAAGTGAGGATATTGAGGACTATATGGAACCACTGGAAGTTGATCAACCGCCAATGCCTCAACTGGCTGTTCAGGAAAATGAGACGGAGGGCATTATTAAACGCAACATTCTTTGCAGAAGACTCAGTGGACATTAGACATTATGCACAAAAAATATTGTTTAACTTGCTTGAACCAATGGTACGCACATGTAATATGCTGCTTATCCTCTTTAAGTTGAAATACAATTAAAAGAAATAAAAATCTTAAAACGTTTTATCAAGTTTATGACAATGAACAATGAAGAAAGACATGGTTACTTACCACTCAATAAATTTTAAAAAATGCATTTACGAGAATGAAATAAAGACAATCATTTTTTTTTCAATATAACACCCATCATATAATCCAACATTCGAGGGCTTTGGACATACAAATATTCTATAAATCCTTAAAACTAGTACATGTAATAAAATTTAACATGAACTTATACAGTACCCTCCATCCTGGAGCATAAAAAACAACGTATATTTTATCTTACTCTCTTAACACTATCTATTACACAATGAAAACAAGTAATGAACTTCAACAAACTTTACATAAAAACTTTGATTCTTTGTTTTATCTCCACTCGGCAGAGTGGACAAATTGTTATTTTCTTCCCACATTCCAAACATGTGACCAAATGACCACAATCACATAAAACACAATCAGGAGCTGCATCCATGCAGATCACACATTCCGAAAAAAGAGTAAAAATAATGAACATTTTAAAATGTTGAAGGTGATTATTGTCTGACATCACCCCCCCCCCCCCAAAAAAAAAAAAATTACAATTAAATAAATTTAGTGAAAACAGAGAATGTTGATATGGGTCTGTCTATCCTGTTTTTTAAACCCATGATCATTTCTAGATTTGCTTCAAATCAAGATCATATCTAAAATTTACCAGACACTATATACTAAATTAAATACTGTTTCTGTTCATATTTTCGCATTACCAATGTCGTTTATTATTTCTTTGTGCTTTCTTTCATAACATCGATTAATTCTCGCATCGGGCCCATTTTTTCTCTCTGTAGTTTCTCTCTCCGAATTCTTTCTTCTTTTTGTTCGTCCATATATTCTTTAAAAACCTGCATCATTTCATTTCTCTGTCTTTCTGTCCCCCTTTTTGTGAGTTTTTTCTTCGGTGCAGATGTACTACATGATGATTGTTCACTGGATGTTTCAACGACACTGTGTTCTCTTTCATCTAATTTTCTTTTTTCAGCAGCGGAACTGGATGCGTCAGATGAAAGTGTAAATGTGGGGTGTATTATAGGATCATTACCTAGTATGTAATTCAGCTCATTTTCATTCCTCTCCTTTCTTTCCACTCCCAGATTTCTTATTGTGATCTTTTTTTTTCATTTTTGTAGGCCCTTAACAAAGACTTCCATCTACCAGCTAGTTGTTCAGAATTGAACGAATATCCCTCTTCCCTCATCTGGTTTGTTATTTTTTTTCCCACACAACCTGTTTCTTAATTTTGCCACTCTGGATTTGGTCGTTGTATTTTTTATACAAGTCTATTAGCAGCAAAGTTGCATTTCTTGTCCAAGAATTGCCGTAGTTTTTACCTTTTTCATCTTTGGGTGGTTCTCTGGCATCACACTGCTCTTGGGCGGTGGGCCCTTGGTGATCAACGCGTGCACGAGCGCATGCATGGTTTTGGAAAACGGTCATGCTGTCGAAAAAATCTCCACATTCTTCAAACTGAAAAAATGTTTTACTCTCCATGTTTGTTTTCACTTTTTCGGCTCTCTCTATAAATAAAATTAGAGATTTTTGTTATTATCCTATTTATTGATTTCATGGATTATTACTAAAATAAAATTAATACTGATCAGCAGATACGCAAGTTTCTCCTCTGACATAACTAAAAAAAATCCACTTTGGGGCTATTTTAGTTGAGTATACATATACTTTTAATTATCCTCATTTTCAACATTTAAATAGACAGCTGATAAACATTTTTAAACGTTATTTTCTAAACCAGTTCAATATTGGCTAAAGTTGCGCACTTTCCCCTTAGTTAAACGGACAACTTTTAAAGGAATTCCATTCTCTATATGTTAAATGCAAACAATTAAATACTTTAAAACATCATATTTTATTTCCAATTGCTTTTCTGTATGTATGTGTGTGGTGGTGGTGGTGGTGGGGGGGGGGGGGGGGGGTGTCACACAACGCGCTTTTGGATTATTACATTCTGCACGTGGTTCTACAATAAGACTTTTTTTTTGTCTTTTTGCTCTAATTAATCAAATATAAATAACTAATATAGTGACAAGCAAAAATTACCGTCATTGGACCTATCGGCATTATTTGTCAGGAAGCATTGGTGTCTCTGGTATCTGGCTTCCGTTGCAAAATAAATCCCGCAGCTGCAGTGATACCATGAATCCGCCATGTTAGTGACGTCACTGTTCTCTCTACACCAACTATTTCGCGGGTACAAAGAGAACATGTTCCGGACAGTGTTCATTTTCATTTTTTTGCTGTTCTGTCTGTTCAGAGTGTTCTGAACAGTGAAACGAACGCACCCCGTATAACGTACATTTTCAAGGTACAGTGCCATGAGCTCATGAACGTGTGATATAAATGCTAATTATCAAAACCAAGCCTCTCAAAATTCAAAAGACCGTAAATCAGAATGAACCGTCCGGAGTATTTTTTTGCAAAGTGTGTGTGTGTGTGTGTGTATATATATATATATATATATATATATATATATATATATATATATATATATATATATATATATATATATATATATATATATATATATATATATATATGACAGTGCTCGTGCTAAATAGAAAAGACGTACATCTTAATTATATGTCAAAAATGTGTTGTATATCGGCACTATGAATTATTTTGAAAAGTAGAACAAAGGTCAAGTTCAAGATACATAAGGTCGGTAACCTTGGTATTTTACAGAAAGCATAGAAGGCAATTTATGTTTAAAATATCAAATCCATATGTCTTACGGTTCCAGAGATATTAGGTGTGACAGACGGACAGTAGCTGGTCTTACCAGAGATACGCTGTGAGGTTAATAGTGCGTATTTTCCAGTATTCTGGGGTTATTTCTGTATTGTGAACATGGGGTTAACCCCTCAATAACAGGGTTTATTTATGCTTGATATGACTGTGCGAAGTTAAAAAACTAATTAATACAGACTTAACCCCATAAGGATTTTCAGACATGCATGTTATGGACTTGTCTATAGTAGGTATGGACGTGAGGAATCCCATATTGAAAATCAACCTAACTATAAAAATATAAACATAAAACTGCAGTCAAAGAATATACAGAAAAGCAAAACCCATATAGACTTTACCACCGAAAGTAACCCTATACTGTTAGATTTTGCACAATGTATCTCGTACAGACACACCGACGGACAGCTAGACAGACGAACACCGGACACTTTTTGATCAGAAAAGCTCACTTGAGCTCGTCTTTGGCTCAGGTGAGCTTAAAAATAAACATGTATAATAGGGACGGATTTTTTTTTCATAAAGCCATCGGCTTTCCAACAGTATGTAGTTCGTTTTTCACATTCATTTCTACCTAATATTGCCTGAATAAAATATTTATTCCAAACAGTCAATAATTATTATTTAATTTTACAAACAAGCTACTTTTCATTTGCATACTATATATTTAAGTATAGAAAATGAGCACAAAAATATTTGAATATATATGCATCCTTGCTGCTAATGATAGAAAATGTAAACAATATCTTATTTTGAAAGCTATCTAAAAGCATGCTATACAGTTGTTTGGGGAATTTTTCTGAATTTAACAATGAAAACCATTGTAATTGTTTTAACATTAATCAACTATCCTAGTTAATCGATTACGAAAGTTACGAAAATATGCATGTGTTATTAACGAAGCAATTGCAGATTGCAAAAAGTAAAACGTAAAATTGTTCTCAGAATCATGACAAACAGTTATACGTCTAGTGGGATGCTAGGAAGAATTCAGACCGTCTTTGGTTTTCAACAAAAAAAATGAAAACTTGTCAGCTGTTACTCATTATATGTACCATTTGATTGTTAATGACAAGAACTGTTCCGAAATTATTATCGGCTGCAGCAGCGGCCGATCAATTTGTGGTTGTGTCAGAATGCGCTCATGGGGAAATGAGACGTTATTTTTTCTTGCTTCGTTGCAATAATTCCTTATTGATAACAAACATAAAAGTTAAGAATAAAATCCTTTAAAAAATGCTTAAAACTATGTCTAAATATTTTGTTATTATGTTTCCATTTGTTTTTCATTTCTCGTCAGATAATTAATAATTTAATGATTTTGCAATAAGTTGTTTCATAAATTGCTCCCTAACATAGACGTGCGTAAGATATAAAAACGTATTGAGTTTCCGGATATGAATTACAGTGTCTAAAATAATCAATAAATTGGAATAAGAACTGAAATCTGTTTTGAATTTACACTGCAGTTGCAAGTGACACAATGAATTTTTTTCCTGCACTTCACATACATACATGTACCTATCACAAAACTGTTTTCGGCATTATAAAGTGACAAAAATCCAGGGTATCAGCACGTGAAGCTTGTGTCCATTTTGTTAGCATTCAGACATTCATAATCCTTGAATCAAATAATTTGATGATAATACATTACTATCCTTTATTGCAGTCCGATTTTCATATTAATGAATTTATTTTCATTTGAATAAAATGTTTAACAATTCATCACTGAAAACTCGCGGGAAAAAATGCGCAGAAAAGTAAGGGAAGTGTAAAATTGTATCATATACTTTTTCTATTTGGATTTTTTCTCTGGACTCTTTCTTGTGGAAATTCTTCAAAATGAAATACATTTTTGTGGCCGATTTGATGCTTTGCATCAATTTACTTGTTGAGACATTGTGTTTTTTTTTCTTTCTATACAATGAACGCCTTTCGGTGAAAATGCCATTTACGTTAGACAAACAAAAAATTAATAAAAGCAGAAATATTTTATAAATATTTTATTTTTTCTTTTCAATGGTATACTAATGTATTAATGAAAAGGGTACCCGAGTCATGAAATCAGATATTAATTTATTGATTGATTGTTTGTTTGTTTGTTAAACGTCCCTTCGAGAATTTTTCACTCTATTGAGACGCCACAACTTCCCGGTTGAAGGATGCAAATTTAGACCTGTACTCGGCACTTACGGCCTTAAAGCAGTAAGTGATATTTTTCTGCCAGCACTTTCTGCGACACGAGACCTCGGTAAATACGGTCTCATCCGAAGGACCGGTCTCCACGTCACACAGTGGATTCAAATTCGCGACGTTAGCATCAACTTCTCACTCCGCGACTCTAGAGCAAACGCTCTAGAAATAACCATTCACCACACAGGCGACAATCTGTAACTCCTAATTTCAAACTCCCGGTTGACCCATAGTAGAAGGAAAAATAATTCAAATTATGTACATAATTTTTTCAATTGTATTTTGACTTCATGCTGTGTAAATTTGTAAGACTTTTGACGAGAAATACGGAGATCATTAAAAAATAGGCACGGTATAAAAATCTGAATACAACGACAAAATGAAGTTGACGTCAAGGCGGCTCAGCGAGCATACCTATAATTTTGTATAGCGCTTTAGGGAATCTTATCCGGACTACATGACTGCTAAAACAATAACAATGCGAAAAAATGTCTAGGTTTGTTCATTGGTGTTTTGTTCTTTTTTACTGGTATATATTTCTCTTACAAATATAAGTATTTCAAGCAAAGTAAAAACAAAGGCTCTGGACGACCATCAATTATTACGGACTTTATAAATTAAGTTGTCCCGCGGTGCAGAAATCGGTACTGCGTAATGCTAAATAACCTGTAAGACTTTGTGATACTTCGTGTAACTTTACATTTGGGTAGCAACAACACACATTTTATTTCTTTTTGAAAGAATCGTTAAAGAAAACTTTTTGAAAGAATCCTTAAAGAAAAGAGAGATTTTTATTGATAGAATATTATACTAGTATGTGACGACAGAGAAAGAAGAGGTACGCTTCCCGAAAGTTCTATGGAAAAGATCTACGGCTGGTTTGACGAGAAAATTACGTAATGATGCTGTTCCAGTTCAATAAACATATGCAAGTCTTAATTTCACCGGGACTTATCTGATTATCCTATTAATTAGAAATTTTCCACATTTGTTTTATTTGTCTTTGATAGAATGTTGACGATTTCGATAAATTTATCTCTTTCTTTTGTGTAGTACATGTAAAAGTAAATGTCTCAATTATTTCCGAAGAGCCCTCTTACTCTCTCTTTTGAAAAAGATGATATAGCAGAAAGCTGACATCAATAAAATCTCACTCTGTGGCTTCTTTTTGCCTTGTAATCAAAATATTTAAAATCTGTCACTATTGAGCGCACAATGAAAAACACCTGATTTTTTCGCAAAGAACTTCTGTAACACAATTTATTTATCACTTGTTTTTTGATTGTATATTGTTTTCTCCTACACAGTATCCTCATAAGAGACCTTTCTTTATTAGAGTTTTTAAAGTAAAAGGTGTCTCACGGAGAATTTTTCACTGACACTTCGTCATCCAAAGTGCAAAATTCAAATACAGTACCGACCAGACACAACCTAACAGAAAGCGAACCCAAAGCGCACCCCGGGTTCGCTGCCTGGGTTCGCTTCGGGTTCGCTTGGGGTTCGCTATAGCGGACCCCGAGCGAACCCGGAGCGCACCCCGAGCGAACCCGCAGCGAACCCAGAGCGAACGCCGAAAGCGAACCCCAAATTCAGTAGCGAACCCAGCAAGCGAACGCGCGTTCGGTGTTGCGTAACTGATCTGTCAATCAGGATTAGCGATAAGACGTGTTAACCAATCAGCGCGTCGGCCGATCAGCATGCCAGTTTGTCATTCGATGTAAATAAAACATTCTACAAGCAAAGCATGTTTATGTACATGTACAGTGTGAAATTATTATTAACACGATTAAAAAAATATTTATATTTATAAATTAATATCTAGATGGCATGCTATATTTACACATTTATTTTCTTTGTTTTTTTTTTTAAAATCCATCTATTTATATTGCGTAAATTTATCAGACAAAAAGTTCTTTAATGTATAAAAGAAAATAATGGTTATCACAATTGTTACAAAAAAAAAAAAGAAAAAAAAAAGTATTTTTTCAAATTATAACATTTCATTATCTCAAGATACTGTGCAAAAGTATGTATATGTACGTGCTTTCATTCAATTATTTTATTTTTATAATTCTAATTTACATTTTTGTTTAAATCCAGATCAACATCAAAATTATTAATCTTCTTAATTGAAAAAAAGTTAAAAAAAAAAATAATAATAATAAATACATAAAAAAATGAATAAAGAACAGCATAAATGTACATGTACAGTATGTCCAATCGTAAACTGCTATAATATTATTTTGATTTATCTTTTACAAAAATATAATGTAAAGCTTGATTTACCTTGTTTTTTTTTTTATTATTATTATTATTATTATTAACTGAAATAAAAAGGAAAAAAAAAACAACGCGCGATTTACATGTACATTATTGAACGAACTAATTATCGGTATTAAATAAGCAATATAATAAGTCGTACAGTATTGTATTCTTTTAAATAGCATAACTTTAGATGATTAAGCATATAGTTAAGATGTTTAACGATTTTTTTTTCTCTGATGATGGGTCACGTTAACTGCCTATTGTGGTCATGATATTTTAATATCAATACATCAGATATGTACATTTTTACAAAAAAATTATTAATTCCCAATACTTACATAAATAATAAGTCGACAAATGTACACGACAAGATTGTCGGGGTTACTTTTTATCCCTGATACTTATTATTATTTTAATTTCTGCAGATGAATGAATTTTAAAAAAAAATGTTGATTTTTGAATTCATAAATGGAAAGATGAATATAAGTATTCATTCATTATTTAAGCCACTTTTAAAAAAAAAAATTACCCCCATACTGCGTATTATAAAATCCAATAGAATCAAAACTCACAGTCAACCTATATCATATGATAGAACATGCTGCATTCGATCATAAATTACATTTTTACGTATCAAAAAGAAAAAAAAAATTAAGTCGGAGAATTACATTAATAATTATTTGTAATCTAAAATACCTATTAAATATTATTTACATGTAGTCTCAAAAATATTTTTTTTAAATAATTTTTTTCCCCAGTTTTCCAAAGACGATTAATTGCAGCAGTAAATATTTTAATCTAAAATATCTATTAATAAGTTTTTTTTTTTTTTTTTTTTTTTTTTTTTTTTTTAATATCCACTCCTAAATATTTTTAACTATTTTGTGTAAAACGTGATCGTTCGTGTATGTTGTCAACAATAACATTGCAACCACTGCACATGCACATGTATCGATCGCCACAAAAACAACAATGATCGATTTCACTGCTGTATTTGGAATAAACAAGGGGCGGAGCTTACTGGCGGCAAGATTAAAGTGGGGTCCGCTTCGCGCATGAGTGCGTAAAGCGAACCCAGAAAGTGAACGCCGGGTTCGCTCTAGCGGACCCAGAGCTGACCCCGAGCGAACGCAGAGCGAACCCGAAGCGAACCCAGAGCGCACCCAAAATTTCTGAAAGCGGACCCGTAGCGGACCCCGAGCGAACCCAGAAAGCGAACCCGGGGTGCGCTTTGGGTTCGCTCTGGTGTTAGGTTGTGTCCGGTCGGTACTGTATGTCCTATTTCTTTAATCTTTCGGTGAGAATGTTTCGTGTTGAGTCTACAATTACAATTTCCCTTTGGTTTTGATGTGTCTTTCAACTAAAAGATTTTTATTTCTAGTATCTATAGTGCCTTAAATTTGTAAAAAAAAAAAAAAAAAGACCGGTCAAAACTTATTGCTACATTTGCATGAACTTTTAAGGAGGGATTTTTCTCTGGTTTCTGACTAGACGAAATAATCCAAGTATATATTTGCTTGTATGTCTTTTATACGTACTGTAATGTACTTAAAAGATCATATTTTTCTTTACCCATCATAATTGTACAATTTAAGATGAGTTTGAAATCTAGCAGAGACTATATTTATTTATTGGCGCAACTGCGGCGTATGAAAATATCTCCTTTTCTGCCTATCAAAATCACTCACAGAACAATACATTTAGTTAATTTTTTTAAACAATCAACGACTTAAAAAAATATTGAAATTAGCTAAAATTAATAAAAATACCCCAAAGTTTTAAACTATAGCAAATAATAATGATTTTCTAGACAAAGTACAACTTTGTTAGCTTTTGAAAGCTTCAGATCTAAAAACAGATTTGAGCAAAAAATAAGTAAAAAGTGTTTTTCTCTCTTACTAAACGGTCAAAGCTTTTTGTTTTCATATCATTTTGTATATTTCTATGACTACTTTACCATTTGTGAAAATAAAAAATATTTAAAGATAAGAAGTATATAAAAAATAAGTAATATATCCTGAAAAATTAAGAAAAACAGAGGAAATTCGGATTAGACAATATCTCTTTTAGTCAAATTATATCAATTAATTTGGTAGGATCATCTGAGAGACCCGATATGGTAACATCTTTTTGTGTAAAAAGAAAAACATTTAAACTTTTAAAATAGAAGTAGGCATCACATGATTAGCAACAGTAATTTTTTACTCTAAAAGTCAAGGGAAAAGATAGTGATCTTGACCTGACCTTGCTTCTAAAATAAAACTGTCAAATTCAATCTAACTGATACCATTACTTAGTGATAATGTCTTCTTGAATCTATGAAAATTTCATTAATTTTTAAATACAAGAAATATGAGAAGAATCCCTTCTTAAGAGTTGAAGACTCGATTTTGGAATCACAAACGTCCGCTATTAAGTTTGTGACGATATTGCAATATATGTAAGACAAACAACTACAAAAGGATTGTTTCTAAAATCAGAAACCAATATTCTTAATCAAAGTCATTGAATGAGCTTGATATTATTAAATTTAATGAGATTATAAAAACAAATATGTATGAAATGCATTATACATCGTAATATACAATTTATGAAATATCTCATAAATTTAAGGTTATCAGACTTCAATCACTGTTCTATCATCAAGTACTTTGTTCACAAAGTCTTCAATCATTTCACAAAGACATGCTCGGTTATTTCTTGTTGGATGACGATTACTGCCACTCTCCGCTAAGCTAGTCCAGTTTTTCATGGCATTCGTTTTCTGAAATTCTCCCAGTTTCTCTTCAATTAAATCTTTTACTTTATTCTGAAAAAAATGGATATCACAATCCTCTTTTTATTCATAAGGATGTTTATCGTTTACAGTAAATATATAAGCATGTTTGATAGTTGACCAATACAAATAATCAATTGTTAATAAAGATTGAAAGAGTTAGGCTAAAAAGTATTGCGTAGAAGTGAGGGTGTTAAAACTGATCTGAAATTACCTCGATTTTTTCCAGGTCTCCTGATGGCTTTTTTGACTTCAGTAGATATATCAAATGTTTCTATAAGTATTGGATAAATCACAAATAATTGAGGATGTTTTCATCAATGAAAGACAAATTTTGGTTTAGTATTTTATAATGGGTTCAGCTGCGAAAAATATTTTAGGCTCGTTTGTCAAGAATCCGATTTGAAGCAGAATCAGTTCATGCATGGATTGGGTAATCATAAGTAATCGTAATCAGCTAGCTGTTATCGATTATAGAATGATGTGTAATCATGAGTAATCAGTAATCATGCATTTTTTCTAAATACATGTTAATGAAATGTAATTGAGTCGATACTCTGGAAAAAAGTCTTGTAAACATATGATTATTTTTAATTACTTTATGATTAAAATTGTTTAAATAGAACTTCATAAAGATTATGATCTTGGTGACTTTCAGTCTGTAAATTTATTTATAAGTAAAAATTATTGGAAATATTTTTATCAGGTAATTGACCATGTAGTGAGTGAATTCTCTCATACTAGCTATGTTCTAAAAATCAAGACTTTGATTACACAAAATATGTGGTCGCCTGCTTGGCGAAGTGGTTAGAGCGTTTGCTCTTGAGTCGCAGAGAAAGGAGTTGATCCTTACGTCGCGGGTTCGAACCCCAATGTGTGACGTGGAGACCGACTGTATAAACTAGGTCCCGTGTTGCAGTAGGTGCTGGCAGGAAAAAATGGCCCTGAGTCCCAAGTATAGGTCAAAATTTGCAGCTCTCCACCGACAAGCGGTGGCGACTCAAAATGAGTGAAAAATTCTCGAGAGGGACGTTAAACAACAAACACACAACCAAACAAAATATGTGAATTAATTAGTAGTAAAATACAGGTGTACTAAAACTGGGTCAGCTTGGGTATAAACAATAGTGAAGTAACAATACTTGTTCAGTAAGTGTTAATTTTTTTCAAATGTACTCAATACCGCTACAAAATAGTATACTATACATTACCGCTAAATTTATAAGTATACTTTATAGCTACAATGCCTCTTCAGTTAGCCAGTGCTTTATGCGTGTACAAAGTACAGCATATACATACATAAAACATGTTTCCTCTGCTCACCACGGGGAGAGGAAAGTAAAAGATCTTTTTTCACTGTTTTATTTAAAATCCTTAGCCATTTTATTTTGAAAAACCTTTTTGCAGGGTTTCTCTACACATATATTTGAAAGTTTTATTAGATTTCGATTACAGGCTGAATGAATTATATTGAACAGAACTCATACTTAATTGTACTTCTACTTCGACAACATTGTGAGTGAATTTCATTAAATACAATTCATATTCTGTGCCTTCGCAGAAAGATTTGAGTATGTATCGGTACGAAATGTTTACTTGTATATGAGACAGAAATCAGATTATCAGATAAACCATCTGATGTAAATGATGATTAAATGCAATTAAAAAGTGTGTAAAATGAGTATTGATTTTAGAATATAATTTCCTGTAAAAAAAATCGAGTTTCTTTGCCGAACATTAAAAGAACTTATACAAAAAGAAATTTAAAAATATTGTAACCAAGAGTAATCACAAGTAATCAAGATTATATGCTGGAAAAGTAATCAAATGTAAACGATTAGTTTAAAAAAATGACTGTAATAAACTTGCAATTGATTACTTTTAAAATCCAAGGTATTTGTAATTTAATCTATTACGTTTGAAAGAAGTCGACCCAATCCCTGATTTTATGTAAATTTTATATACTTGAGAAATTGATCAAACTTCATCTCTTTAACAGTTTAATCTGACTACTCAACTGGAGAGAATAATTATATATATATTTACAATTCATAATATTTTTCCTTAAGATTCTTTGCAAATTAGAAAAAGTTCATGTCCTCATGAACTACCATGGAATGAGTAAGAATATTTCCATTGTGATGTGATTGAAGTCAAAGTGTAAACTCTTTTTTCAGAAATGATCTTTGAATGTCAAAAATATGTGGCAAGTCATCAGCAAAATAATGTAAGTATAAGATATGACTGTAATTAATTTTATTATCGGTTCTTAGACTTTATCCAGCTGTAAAATTAAAAATGTGTACTTATCCGGATTGTTTGTGGTACTGTAAAACGTCAATGAATATACTCAAAAAGAATATAAAGTTATCAGCAAGATAAGAATAAGACATATAGATACCTCGCATTCTGTAGTATCGTATCTGTAGAGATAAAGCTGGGTTTTTTTTGTTAAGGAGAAAATATTTTTAACAGTTGTGATATACAAAAACTGTCGTGTAAATATGCAAATTAAATCATTAAAACAAAATATCATTTTAATTAAAATAATATCCAATGACCTTAGTGGTCTTATTTAAGATAACAATGATTCAAAAATGCTGGAAAATGATTAATGGTTAGTAAGTTTTTCTCGTCGTCATAGAGCATATGACGATTGCCAGCATTGTGAGAAAAGTAAATTGATGCGCGTCACATAAAGTTTCCTACTTCATTTTTATATTCTTTTTCTTCTCAGAAAAAATCCGATTTTCCAAATTATTAAAATTCACAGCACTATCGTCTATATTAAACAGACATATGAGTGTTATATGTCTTTTCAAATTAGCACTAAGAAAATTCCGAGAATGCAATGTACAATTTCGATAAATAAGAATATATATATATATATATATATATATATATATATATATATATATATATATATATATATATATATATATATATATATATATATATATATATAAACAAACGTATTACAAAATCATGAATAAATCTAAAACAACGTTTAACCTTTAAGCATCAAACACTGATATCAAATTACAAATTAATGCTTTGTACGGTTGATAATATTCATTTGCAAAATTGAAGAACACGCGCCGATTCGCCTGACACAATGTTATTATATAGCCGATTTTATGGGGCTACGAAGAAAATGTTTTAAAGATATACATACAAAATTACACACTTCTCTGAAAACGTTCAATGTAGTTATATTTTTCCTATAATTAAGAAACGTTGCATGTTAAACAGAATGATGAAATATAATTTTGTCTTAGAAATATTCTGAAATGAATTTTCAAGGATACAGTAGGTTTGGAAAGGCATGCGTTGTCAAAGTACACAAGACATTTACTTTCCTTGTAAAACATCAGATTGTGTTTAAGCACTACTGAGTGGACACCTTTTGAAAGCTATAAATTAATATTTTAGAAAATATAACAGTAGGGAATTAAAAAATAAAAATATACTGACACAAAAAATAAACGCAACAAGTAATTTACTACAACTACATGTATGTGAATATTTTCTATCTAATGTTATTCAAAATTAAACATTTATTCAACTATAGCGTGCAATCCGCCATGCCCAACAATTGCAGCTCGGATGCTACCTAATCCGAAAAATTTGACGTTTTCCAGACGTTTTTCACGATTTTGATATCCGTCGTACTAGGAAATTAAAACGCCAGAACCGGAGCCACTATGAAAAGAGGAAATTCGCAGCCTCCAACCGCAGGTGGCATTCAAATCATTGACCGTTTTAGATTGTATATGATATTTCATAGGCAAATAATTTCAATCTTTGTGAGATTTTTACAAATTGTGCAGATTCTACATAAAGTATATTGTAATGTTGATAAAATATCAAGGAACATTTTGTTAATGTTAAAACCGAGATTTAATTTTTCATCTTCCTATTTTTGCACTATAGGCATTTCGCTCGCCTTGTTCGCCATCGCCAATTACAGACACAGGAAAGTTGAAGATGTTCTTACATAAGTACAAAATTATTGAATTTCCTAATATCTTATATTTTTCTAAAAGAAGATGCGTTTCTTTTGCGTGTCAATATATATACATATTACGCAAAACATTTGAGAGAGAGAGAGAGAGAGAGAGATGTCCTACTTACGACTCTTCGACAGACATAAATAATAAAGTATCCAATCGGGAATATTGAAATCACCATAGACGAACCGACTGTTAGTATTATCAGATTAAACATATTATATTTCTCCTTTTCGTAACTAAAGGTTACACTGAAGACTATCAAACAGCCCTGAACGGCAAAAGCTGCTAGAAATAGTAAAAACAAAGCCATGCAACGCCACTCCACTGTTGTAAGAACTTGATAATTCCTGAACAGGAATTTGTTATTTAATGACTTTGTAAGAGTGGTGTAGTGGTTTTCAAGCTGAAATATAATTAAAAAAAATCATATGATGTGTTGTTAAAATATTCTAGAATATTTCAAAGTATCATACTGAAACGATTTGCGAATTAAAAGAGAAAAAATATAAGACCTGTTTTAGATTAATGTCAAACTGAGTAGCTTTCCTTTGCTCATATTTCTCCAAAGGTGAAAATCTGAAAGCAAGTCCATGGATAGCAAATTTGGCTTTTTCTGCTACTTTTTGGCATATCAAACCACCGTTGTGTCTGGAAACTAAAAAACAATTTACAAGATTATCATTTTCTTGTATATATATATATATATATATATATATATATATATATATATATATATATATATATATATATATGTATGTATATATATATATATATATATATATATATATATATATATATATATATATATATATATATATATATATAATGAAATGTACACAAAAGAATCATAAACAATTTATTTTTTTTTTACAATCATGGACGTCACATGAAATGAGCATAATTCATACAATAAATTTGTGTGATTTTTATTTTGATATATACCGGAAAAGGTATCCATTCACACTAGGAGATTGACCGTGCAATAGCTTTGTAAAAGTGACTGTAAGTGTACCACGTGACTACCAACCTAATTGCTTCAAAAGTCGTCAGTTCAAATCATTGGGTTTTCTTTCTTGTAATGAAATATACAATTCATCGACGGTTTACGCGCCGCAATCTTGTCACAGTCATAATTTGTAACAGACTCTTTCTAGGCATCGCCCAAATATCACAATATTCAGTTTGGTGATTGAGGTGCCTTGACTTTAGTAATTTAATCTTATTTGATACAGTTTAACATCAATTAATAACTTTAATCAGTGAAATAATTGTAATAACGTCTAATTTTCATATATATTTTAGGATGAGGAATCATACAACCTTGATTCTGTCGTTGACTGAATTGTCAATCAATGGTCACTTAAGATTCCTTTCAGTGGCCATGCATTCAGTTTATTTTACTGACATCAATGTCAAACAAAGGGTATGATTTTTCCTGTTACTAAATGTGGTCATTGCCGTTGATGAGTTTGTACCTATTTCAAGGTACACGTTGCAACTACTGAGATATAGTGGTGGGTAAATGCAATATGTACGAAAATAAAAATATAAGTGGTATCAACTTTCGTATTAATAGCATTGAGCAAGGCTTCATATCAAAGGACATACCTTTTCTGTTCAAATGTAATGGATCCAAAGTTCCTATAAAGTTATACAGAAAAAAATGTTAGGTGTCTTCTTAATTTCGTGTAGAGAAATTTAAAATAATTGAATGGTGATACAAAACGAATAGCAACTTCTTAACAACAAAATGAAATATATCTTACTTGAACCTCACCTGTACGATTGAAGGCATCATAGATTTTGGCTGCAACATCCTTTTCAATAACTTTGTCTATATAAACTATTGACTTCAAGAAAGGGGGCAATTCTTGCACAGGGTTTAAAAGTACCGGAATGACATTTAAATTATTAACATCAGTAAATGATAATTGACAAACTTCGCGGGCTTCTGTTACACACCAATGCCTTTTCAAGTAAGATGTACTCAGCAGTAAGAGGACCTTAAGGCTGCACTCCATTTCATAGTGAATATTTTGGTCTATACTTTTACCAGGTGTAAAATCATCATTACAGTTCATACATGTAAGGTTGAATCTTTCTGTCAATTGTTCGGTAATATTTCTTGCTTCTTCTTTATCCTCTGAACAGTAAGAAACAAACAAGTGATATTTCTTCCCGGGTGGCAGGGGTATGTGTGGTACTTCCTTATCTTCTGGCGATGGGTCTGGAATCTGGCTTTCCTGGACCAGTTCCTTCACCTGAGTTTCTGTCTCATTAAACCTTTGGAATCCTTCTCCTTCGGTTTGGTGTTTCTGTGATTCTGTATTCAGCAAATGAAGAGAGAATTCAACCTCAAGATCAGATTCAAAATTTCTGTTACTGGTTAATAGCGGGTAGTTTTCGAGATCTGTCATCATAATAATGTTTGGTTTACAAAAATACTGCGTATCTCCCTCAGTGAAAAAGGTATTTATGTTACCTGAAGCTTTTTGCTCTGTGGTATTTAAATGGCTTTGTTGGGTTTTAGTAATCTAGTGCAGGTAAATCACGTGACTGTGACATCTAGCCTATATCAACATATTTCTAATAGAGCATCCAATTTTTACAAACTTGTCTTTATATCGACAATTTAGATATCTTTATCTTTATCTTAACAAGCACCCTGGTATACGTTGACATAAAATAACTTTAACTTATCTAATAAATAATCATTAAATGTAACCGCTATCTCAGCGAGTTTTCATTATAATTTATTATATTCAGAAGTCAATCAAAGTTTTTGCCAGTAGCTATTAAAATTTTCTTGGATGTCTTGTAGCAATGTAAGTTATTCTATAATTGTGACTCGGAGTTTTCAAAATCTTTTCCGACCAAAGTGTATTTTATAGGGATAAAAAAAAGCATTATCCTTGGTAATTTTTTATCCTGTTCATGTAATGCTAATGCTTCATTATGGTAAGGCTTGTTAATTTCTACCACTGCCAAATATGCTTGAATGCAATAAGTAACTGCAAGGCAAATTGAATCCAAGATTGGCTATGTATGCATAAACCTAGGTGCTCATCTAAGGAAACAATTTTGTTGGAAGACAAACAACGAATGCATTCGATAATTTCCAGTCAAAACTCATATTGCGCTAGATATTTAGTCGATTTTCCCCTGAAACCTCAATAAATTTACAAAATATAGCCCTTGTTATTGAAGATCCCAGTCGTAAGTATCAAAAGCAAGGTGCAATGTGTCCTTCTTTCAGAAGAAACAGATCACAATATGTCATTTGTGTTCTAGCAAACAGTCAACGTGGACGGCACACTTGTTGACAATCGTACAAGGTCTAAAATCTTGGATCCTGGATGTAATCCAGCCCCTCGATCTATGTGCTCTTATGATAGTATTATATATACATAGTATTATAGGCGTTTTTACCGTTTTTGACCGGGTTAGCTAAATACGTTGCCGGTCTCGTAAACTCCATTCATTATTCACTTTGACGGTCAAACGGTCCCTTCCAGACCCCTCCCCTGCCTAAAGATGAAGGTCATAATATGGGATCTGGATGTTACCAAGCCCTTTGTACAATGTTTTCCTTTTAAGAGTATTATATCCACGGCCACTATTTGGTAAGGCTAGCTATATTGGTTTTGGATCCTGTATCTTTTGATTAACGGTAACTTGAATCGGGAACCTACAACAGGATACGGTTCCCTATTCGAAAAGTGAATGGTGAATAGTGAATAGTGAATAAGTTTCTAACTTCTGATTGCCTCCTGTTTAAGTGTCACATCTCTGTTTTAGTACAAATGAAAGCCCTAAGGCCAAGAATTATCTTAGACAAATTTGACAAAAATTGGCTGGGTGATTCTTGAGACATGACCTATATTACATGAAGTTGACCGCACAAATGGCCATAGCATTAGCTCTTTGTGCATTCGGCTCAGAGGAGCTAAAAAACATGCATAAAAGTACACGCTACAATTATGACTCCATAAAGATATTCATTTCTTTAAAATAATATAATAATAAGAAGTTATCGTATTCCAGCTGCCTTTCGGCATTTCTGATCTTCTATGAGGATCGTAGCAACGGGACCCCCCCCCCCCCCCCACGCGTTCTACAGGCCTGTCTATGCATTTGACAGCTTTCCAGCATAAGTAAGTTACATTAATTTGTTACGGTCACTGTAGCCTAGGGGTAGGCGTTCGCTTCGTGATCGAGAGGCCCGAGTATTCTCGTACGCCGCACCGTGTGAAACCTACGACGTATACACAGATAATAATTGTTCCTTCGCCAAGCGCCCTGCACTAGAAGTATTTCGGATGAAACCTTAAAAACTTTTTTTTAAAAAGTACTTGCAAGGCAACAATCCTATTAATTTCTTTCAAATGTTATGTACATTCCACTTGTATCCCTGTTGTTTAAGAAATAAACATTAAATATGTTAACATAAATTTTATTCACTTACCATTTTCGGATGATTCTAAAAACCAAGTTAAACTTTAAAAAGATCTTCAAAATCACGGGTCTTTCGGGTGAAACCTTAAAAACCAAGGTCCCGTGTCATGGTAGGCGTTGGCACGATAAAGAACTCTCTCTCTCTCTCTCTCTCTCTCTCTCTCTCTGTTTAATGGCCCTGAGTGCCGAGTATACCTGTAGGTCTAAATTTGAAGCCCTTCACTGGTATATGGCAACGTCTCTATATGAATGAAAAATTCTCGAAAGGAACTTCATACATTCAATCAATCAAATTGTACGTTAATGAAATATCTGATCCAGCCGGGAAACGGATGGAAACATTTATCACTTATCATGCTCATACATTCTATATTTATTGCTTTCAGTCAGGCATTTTGAAATGCTCTAACTTGTGACTAGAAATTAAACACTGAATTGCTGCTGTTGTAGCCCTACTTTACTGCTGCAATTTTTGTGATTTTATTAGTTCTACTTCAGAGGATTGCAGTTAATGGTTAAAGATGTTGCTGTTTTAAGTGGGACATTTGACAAAAAATATAAATACTAATTAAGACAGAGTATAAATAGATGAATTTAATTCTAAGAGGTTATGGAAACACATGGACTCGGAAAGATAAATTATGATGATGAGTGTTTTGCAGACCTGTGTGACTTGAACCAACTAGAAAGAGGAGAGAACATCTTTCCCAGTGAGGCCACAAAGCCACTTGGATATCCCCACACCATGTCACAGAGAATCAAATTGACTTTCTTTGCATAAGTCAGAAATTCGGTCGTTTGTGCCGTGATGTACGATTGATTGATTGATTGATTGTATTGTATTGTTGTTTAACGTCCCTCTCGAGAATTTTTCACTCATATGGAGACGCCACCATTTGCCAGTGGAGAGCTGCAAATTTTGTCCTATACTCGGCACTTACATCCATTGAGCAGTGAGGGATCTTTTTCTTGCCAGCACCTACTGCGACACGGGACCTCGGTTTATACGGTCTCATCCGAAGGACCGGTCTCCACGTCCCACAGTGGGATTCGAACCTGCGACGTTAGGATCAACTCCTTACTTCGTGACTCTAGAGCAGACACTCTAACCACTGCGCCACGCGGGCGACTGTACGATTGATAAAAGGTGTTGATTTATAATTCCTTTTGATTAGTGATGGTATCCTATTAAAACACACGTCTCAAAAAGGCATGCTTAGGCACAGGAATATACAGACTCCCTTCTATCTCAGCCTGTTACCTCCTTTTAGTCACTAGAAGAGTGGCTAAAGAGAGATAGAGAAGAGAGAGTCACATTGGTAGCAAACCAAGAAGATTCTACTTATGAGGAAGTTCTTGGTAGAAAGGGTGTACATCGCAAGGAGTAGATATGCAATGCTACCTTGCCAATTCCGAAGGTGAGAAAATCAAAGAAAGCCTCACTTAACCCAAATCGAACGAGAGCAGAGAAAGCATTCGACAGGGAAGTAAAGGCTAGTATCAAAGGTATATGAAGGACCACAAAGACAGCCTAACTAATCAGGCAGAAGATGCAGCAGGGCCTAGTAAAACCTTTTTATGACAACAAGGAAGCTGGCATGCACATTCAATTAGACAGATAATTCTGTGCGGGTAAAGATGGAAACCTCATAACAAAAGAAGGAAGGCTAAAGAGCTGGGTAGAATTTTTAGGATGTCCTAAATCGGTCAGTCTCCTCTATACCACCAGACATTCAACCAGCAGAATCAAACTACTATTTAGCACTGCTTTCCCATTAATAGCAAGAATAAAAGGAATTGGAAAGCAGCAGAGTGAAATGTTCATGAAGCTAGCAAACAGTAATTATGCTCAAAAGTCTATTAAACAATATTGTGACCAAGGCAAACAGAGGTGAGGACGTGTGTCATTGAAGAATGAGCATTCACTGCCGCTGGTCACAACCATTATGTGCTCCTTGACATAATTGAGAAAACGAAAGAAAGTGTAGACAATTCAGTGTGAAAATAATGGCTTACAATTCGAATGAAAGACGTCAGTCAACATTCAACTTTACGATAGATTGTATTTGCAAACAAGATCATTGTATCGACCATAGAACCCGCAAAATGTTGAGATTGTTGATATCCTTGTATCAACAACTTATTTGTCAGTACCCTGTCTCGTTTTAGAAAATAAATCGTACGTAGAACATGCTCTAACTAGGAAACATAAACTCCATTTGCTGGTAATAATGGTATATTGCTACATAAATAAGGAAGTTTACGAAAGGAAGTTGAAGTCATAATAAAAATTAATCATAATGTCTTAAAGTTTTTTTTTTTTTTTTTTTTTTTTTTTTTTTGTGTTTGCAATCAATATCTTTGTAAGCCAAACATTCAATTGTGAAACAGATCTGTTAGACTTTTTATTGACTTATATTTTGATCAAAATATCAAATCAACGAAAGGAAAATGAATATAAGTAACTGATAAAACGTCATCGATATAATTATTTAATTGTCGAGGTGAAGGCCACAGCAAGAAACTTTTCTTTTCAGGTTAGTTTTTTGAGATCTTGACTCATAAGAAACCAAAAACATGTCAGTTGATAACAGAGCACAATCATACCCATGAAATTCTGTAAGATTATTGGAAGACTTGGTCCAAAAAATATATAGATCTTGTCAATAAGAATTTCAAGCAATTTTTTTACTATCAACCTCAGAGTACTTGTGTGTTGAATCAGAATGGGTTTTTAAAAAATAAAATAAAATTGAAAATGGTCAGTGTCAAGGTATGTAAATTTTTTTAAATAAACAGTTGTGAATGATGTAAAAGATCCTAGTCTTTAATTTATTTTGAAGAATGTTTTTTAAAGACGTACAACACACTTGGGGAGATAACTCTTGCGATTTCAATTAAACGTTTAACTTGACGTCACATTTGAAGTTTATAATAAAGCGCCAAAATGACGACCGAATCG